GCACTCATAACAATTTTGCTTCCTTGCTCCAGACTTTGATTTGGCAATTGAATTTTTTATGTTAAAGTTCTTTTGTTATGTTCTTCCTCTACTCACAAGACCCTCGCCCTCAATTCTGTTGTTTGGAAAGCTCTTTTTTAACTCTTTAGGTTTTAGTGCATTACTAACATCTTCGAGTGAAATGCTGTCTTTCCTATATAGCAGCGTATCGGCTAAAGTATCATAAGACGGTGGTAAAGAACATAACACAATTAAAGCCTGATTCTCACTCTCAATTTTGATATCCACGTTCTTCAGGTCCATTATAACTGAATTAAACTCAACAATGTGAGTTTTAACAGGTGTACCTTCGTTCATACGGATATTGTATAACCTCTTTTTTAGTAGAGGCGGTTTGTCAGCGATTTCTTAGAAAACAGATATTCCAGCTTCTTCCATGCCGTTGCTACAGAAGTTTCCTCAACAATTTCCCGAAGTACGCTATCTGTAACGCTCATGAAAATCGCACTCAAAGCCCTCTCCTTCAGGTCTGCCGTATTTGTCTCTGTCATCTCTTCAGAAAAATTCTAATCAGTTGCCTTCCGTAACCCTTGTAACACCAGGGACGATTTCATCCTAATCTTCCATAGACTGAAACTAGAACCCCCGTCAAATTTCTCCACTTCATACTTTGTTGAAGATGATGAATACATCTTAACCCTAGATTATATGTAGAAACCTGAACCTTGCTCTGACACTAATTGTTGCGTAAGATCGTGGGTTAGCTAGCATAGAATCACACACAAAGCTAATAGAGAAGAAATATTAACAGAAGGATTTAACGAGGTTCGGCTAAGCCTAATCCTCGGGGCAGAAGCAGAGAAAGTTTTTCACTATGAATGAGAAGAAAAGCACAATACAATCTATAGAACCCCCAACTACAACCCCTGATCTCAACTAGTCCCAAACCTATAAGAAAAAGGTTTCCTAATCTGACAAGGACAATAGGTTTTTCTTTCCCAAGTCTATTTGGACAATGAGTTTTCCTAAACCTACAAGGATTATGGGTTTCCTAAAAATACAAGGAAATAATTCAAGCCATAAAATAATCCATTCAATGAAGAATACTCTCTAACATTAAATGGGCAACCGTTGCAAAGAATATTTGCATTCATGACCTGCCATTACATATTCATCAATGACTCCTTTATTACCATTTAAATGAGGCTTAATCCTAGGATCTTGTTTCCCTAGGAATAGCTATAAATAGCAGGTTCAACAGCCATTCTAAGGGACACGAAATTCTTGGCAAAATATATGCAATATTTTATTCTCAATTAGACAGTTTATTTGCTCTTTTACATTACTTTTATTTCTGTCTTCGGAGACATTGCACTCGGAGCCAGGATTTTTGGATTTTAATTGCTAAGTTTCAATTTTAATCTTAGTTCTCTATCATTTTTGGATCAAACTAGTTCATTTGTCTATAAACTTCGTAATAAATTTAACTGTATAGTTTTACGGGTAAATAAAAAAAATATGTGCTGAATCAATAATCAACCAGAATGAGCCTGAGCGAATGTAGACATCATTAATGATTAGACACCTAACTAGAGTTGAATTCCCTATGATTCCCACGTTGATGGTATGATAAAATGGGTAATGCATGGCCTTCTTTACTTCTGTACCTAACTCATTCTTAAGTTATAATAAAATCGGCTTGCTTAATCAGCTTTCCCAATGGTCTAATAATACATGCTTTAACTTGCCTCCTCAAAAGATAGAGACCTATCTTTTTATGAATATTTCATCAGTCCAGTCTATGACATGATCAAAATGAGGGTAAGCTTCAGGATCTTAACCTCGTAACTCCGATATCGTGTTAAATTTAGGGGTGTGCATTCGAATCGGTTTATCGATAAATCGAATGATTATTTGTTATCGAAATCGAAATCGAAAAAATCGAAACCTTATTGAAACGATAACGATAAGCATATGTACAAATCGATAATCGATAAGGGTCAAAATCGAATCGATAAATCGAATGCACACCCCTAGACTGTAGACACTTGTTAAATGAGTAATTACCTATTTGTGTAGATTAATATAACATACAGAATGTATATATATTCCGCTACTATTTTGAAAGCGGCTATACAATATTATTTTCCCTAATCTATACCCTTTCCTTTACCCTAAGTCCCTTACCCTGTTATTTCCTTTACCACATTTAAGGAATGATCATATTTAAAGATCAAGGGAATGAAGTTCAAATTAATGAAAAACAGAATTAGCCGTGATGATGTGTTTTGTTTTGTTTTATTTTTTTTATACCGTTGGAGTGTTGGTGGCATACATTTGATCCCTTACTTTAGTTTTGTTGCATGTGCTTGTTGACACAATTTTTATATTATAAATGGTGTTCGTCTTATTTTAGCTTCTTTTTGTCCATATTAGTTAGGCACGTTTATAGCGATATACTTTTCGTGGAATCCTGCAAATTTTCTTATTGGTGTAATCGATAACCGAATCGATAAGCCCCCAAAATCGATAAATCGAAATCGAAAAAATCGAAACCTTATTGAAACGATAACGATAAGCATATGTACAAATCGATAATCGATAAGTAATTATCGATAAGGATCAAAATCGAATCGATAAATCGAATGCACACCCCTAATCTATCATCAAAATTTCCTTCGCCAACTTGATTATGCGTGTGAGCACGTGATTTTTGCCCTAAGCAGTAATTCCTAAATTACAAACAAAATAATTTTTTCTAGTATTTTATAAATTTTGGTGAATTTTGTGGCATTCTTTGGTAATTGTTGCATTTTTATTTGTGCATTTTAATTCTTCTGGAAGATATAAAAATACATTCTGCATTTGTTTTAGGTTCTAATTTCACATTTTAGAATTAATTAGTAAAGAAGAAAATAACAAAATTGTTCTTTCGCATTTATACTTTTGAATTAGGAGTTAGTATAATTCTGGAATTAATTTGGGGTTTTACTTTTAATTTTGCATTTAACAAATTTCAAAAAATAAATAAATNAATGGCAGCTAACTCAAGATCATGGATTGGATAATTCTTCTCGTGTATCTTCAACTGTCTGGATGCGTAGGCAATCACCCTACCGTCCTGCATCAATACCGCTCTAAGGCCAACTCTCGAGGCATCACAATAGACAGTATAAGACCCCAAACCGGTAGGCAATATCAAAACAGGGGCTGTAGTCAGGGCTGTCTTGAGCTTCTAAAAGCTCGCCTCACACTCCTCTGTCCACTGAAATGGAGCGCCCTTCTGGGTCAATCTAGTCATAGGGGCTGCAATCGATGAAAACCCCTCAAAACGACGATAGTAGCCCGCCAAGCTAAGGAAACTGCGAATCTCTGTAGCTGAGGATGGTCTGGGCCAACTCTGCACTGCCTCTACCTTCTTCGGATCCACTCGAATGCCCTCACTCGATACTACGTGACCCAAGAATGCCACGGAATCCAACCAAAACTCACATTTTGAAAACTTTGCATATAATCTCTTTTCCCTCAGAGTCCGAAGTACTGTCCTCAGGTGCTGCTCGTGATCTTCCTGACTCTGGGAATACACCAGAATATCATCAATAAAGACAATGACAAAAGTGTCAAGATATGGTCGGAATACACTGTGCATCAGATGCATGAAGGCTGTTGGGGCATTGGTCAGCCCAAAAGACATAACAAAGAACTCGTAATGACCATACCGAGTCCTGAAGGCAGTCTTTGGGATATCTGGCTCCCGAATCTTCAACTGATGGTAACCTGAGCGCAAATCAATCTTAGAAAACACCTGTGCGCCCTGAAGCTGGTCAAACAGATTATCAATACGAGGCAAAGGATAACGGTTCTTCACTGTAACCTTGTTAAACTGGCGGTAATCAATACACATGCGCATAGAACCATCCTTCTTCTTCACAAATAACACAGGAGCACCCCAAGGCGATACATTGGGCCGAATAAAGCCCTTATCAAGTAATTCCTGCAATAGCTCCTTCAACTCCTTCAACTCAGGAGGAGCCATACGGTACGGAGGGATAGAGATGGGCTGAGTGCCCGGCAACAGATCAATGCCAAAATCAATGTCCCTATCAGGTGGCATGCCCAGAAGATCAGCTGGAAACACATCAGGGAAATCTCGTACTACTAGGACTGAATCAACAGAAGGAGTATCCATACTGGCATCTCTCACATAAGCTATGTACGCATCACAACCTTTCTCAACCATACGCTGAGCCTTATGGAAAGAAATAACTCTACTGGGAGTATGACCTAAGGCACCCCTCCACTCAATATGCGGTACACCTGGCATGGCCAGCGTCACGGTTTTGGCGTGACAATCAAGAATAGCATAATGGGGCGACAACCAGTCCATGCCCAAAATAATATAAAAATCAACCATACCGAGCAATAATAAGTCAGCTCTGGTCTCAAAACCACCAAGAATAACCAAACATGACCGGTAAACGCGGCCAACAACAAGAGAATCTCCCACAGGAGTAGACACATAAACTGGGGAACTTAAAGAATCCCGAGGTACCCCCAAATGCGGAGCAAAATAAGAAGACACATAAGAGTAAGTGGAGCCTGGATCGAACAGTACCGATAGGGGTGTGCATTCGAATCGGTTTATCGATAAATCGAATCGATTATTTGTTATCGAAATCGAAATCGAAAAAATCAAAACCTTATTGAAACGATAACGATAAGCATATGTACAAATCGATAATCGATAAGTAATTATCGATAAGGGTCAAAATCGAATCGATAAATCGAATGCACACCCCTAGTTAAATTATGCAATCTCATTGAAAAGCTTAAATTATTAGAATTTAACTAATTATTATATCTTCTCCAAAATCAACTTAATTTACATATATGTGAATTATATTAGAATAGTTTGATGCAAAATTACAAATAAAGTTGAACTTGAACATGAGATAAAGATGGGATTTATGAGTGAGTAAAAAATACATACACAAAAACACTAAGAGAAATGTCCAAGTTATATTCCATCTTGCTACTTGCTATAGCTAGCTAGTCAAATACTAGCCAGTAATAAACACACACTAGTCTAGGAAAAGCAAGGGGAAAAGATATATGTACATACATTTGCTTTAGTAGTGGGGTCATGAGTATCTACAAATAGAATTGTGGGATCCTAAAATTAGAAAGTAATTAATCACATGATCGATCCTATCAAATATATAGGTTAACCCAATCTAATCCCTGAACATAAGTGTTATCTGGTGTATAGAACACATTATCTAATCCCTCCATTCCAAACTCCCCAAGAAATGGTGGTTCCATAGCAGCTTCCATTGAGAAAGATGAAGTACTTGGACTATTGTTGCTCGAAACCCCATCACAGCGTTCTAATAGCAACCTTTGTATCTCCTTCTCTGCTTCAGATAACTGGTCCTTCAATTTTAAGACCTGCAAGAGAGAAATATTCATTTTAATTAATAATTCATGAAAAGTGCTGTAGTACATTTGATTATAGTAAGTGATTAATTTAACAACTATAGTATGTATTAATTATAAGACTCGTTTGAAAATCTGGAACATCAACGTGAGAAAGCCAAGAAATTAAAGGCATGTGCAGCTCCACCAAGACCTTAATTAAACGAGGAGGATGTACGGGAGATTTGTTATTGGAGGATGTAGTTACTTTTGCTGCCTATTGGGTGACAGTCTTCCCAGTTTTCATCCAATCATACATGCAGCATGTTATGGACTCTTTCGAGCCAAGAGTGCATGCATGACTAAAACAAGACATTTTTCTAATAAATTTAATTTATGTAAATTGATAGTATAAAAATAATTTTGAATTATTGTCACGTTATTTATCTTTTTTTTCAGTTTACTAATTTCACCTATTATGAATGATTAAATATTTTTTATATGAACGATTACATATAATTATCTTTTAGATGAATATTTAGAGTTAGTATCTTCTTTTGGACACATAACATGTAGTCATAGAGACCATTTTTGCTTCTTAGCTTTTGCCTCGTAAACAACTCATGAGAACTTTTTTAATATTAGGACCACATCAACCTTCATTTATGCTCCCAGTTTTCACTGACAAATCCCAAGAAACGAAACTATACAATGGATGAGAGAAAGGAAAAAGACAAAAATAAAGAAAGGACCCTCTCCTATTTTCTGGAAAACTTAGGTTTGCAAGATAATAATCCCATGAATACATAAACTTCATGATGCCCTACAAATTTTAGTGTGTGTGTGTGTGTTTACGTATATACGTACACAGAGAGAAAGAGAGAGAAATGAACCTCAGATTCAAGACGGCATTTCTCAACGACATTAGTGTCATGATCAGACTTCAACTTGGAGTATTCCTCCTCAAGCTTCTTGCTCTTCCAACGAGCCCTCCGGTTCTGGAACCAAACAGCAACTTGGCGAGGGTCAAGCCCCAGCTCTGAGGCGAGCTTGTCCTTCCTCTCTGACTCCAGTTTGTGCTCGTTCCCAAAGCTTTGCTCAAGTAGATTCACTTGTTCATCACTCAGCTTTCTCTTCCTCATAACCCCACTCCCACTCCCTTCTCCTTGCTTCTTCTTACGCCTACGCCGTGGTTTCGTCTCTCCTGCATCAACAAACAATTGTAGGCTAAATAACAGAAATAATACAATCTTTAACCACAAATTTCGAGTTCGAACCCTAAAAATATTAATCGTACTGAAAATTAGTTGGACCAGTAATTTTCACATAAAAAAAGTAGTACTATATATATAGTACTAGAAAGACAGTGATTATTCGTATGTACTAACCTTGTTGTGGTACCAGTTGGGTGTAAATATCAGGATAGTACTGAGAAATGAGTACCATTTCATCAGCTGCAACTTGAGGGTTCATGCTGCTAATTGTCCTAATCTTTTTTCTCTTATCTAACTTGTTCTCTGCTGCTTTTTTTTCTTTCTCTGGGGTAAAAGTGAAGGTGGAAAAAGGCAGCAGCGAAGACTTTTTACTTATAAAGCTGGAGTGAAGACTAAGGAGCTGTTGCCTTAAGACTTTAGTGAGTAGTAGCGTACGTGACCTTATTTATAATGCCCACTCCTTTGAAATAAACCTTGCTTATATGTAGAATTATCCAAATTGCCATCTGTCAATGTTTTTGGGGTACAATGTTTCTAGTGTGAGCTAAGTTGATAAAATTTGTTAAATTAAGAAATTGGACGGTGACATTGCAAGGCTGCATGGCTTTAATTCTGTCTGATTTGGTGAAACGTGACTTAGGTAATAGGGTAACAAGCAAGCTATTAATTAGTTAGCATTGGCTTTAGTGTTATTTTTGGGGTTTTCTTATCTTCCTTGAACACTCACCCACCAATTAAGTAGTCAGTAAACAAAATGGCAAGTATGTGGGACCTTTTTACGAATTAAAAGACGAGATAAGGATATGGATGAAATGACATAGTATATTTCTTGCTTTTGAATCATGAGATGAGGCATGGTAATTTGGATAATCATTTGAGTCTCTTCTCCACAACCTCTTTGATTACGATGGTTTTAGGTGGTTTAAGGAATGTGACTGTCACACGCATCAACCATACATATTATACCCTAATTGGCTGGATAAAGTTGGTTACATAAATGTTCAGGAAGGGGGGCACAATATATGAGTGAAGCTTAATCATCAGATGTTAATTAATGCTACACGCTTACATACTCTAGCTAGTCAACTTCATCGCTAAATGAAGGGATAAATCATATAGGAGTACATGAGATGAGCTTTAACTTTTATACACGTGCAAATGATTTTTAGATTATTAGCTCGCCTAAAAAATAATTACTATTTATAATTATATTCGTAATATGTGAAATAAGTTCTTGAAAGTTAAAATAGACTACCACAAAAAAAAAAAAAAAAGCAAATAATATTGATAGTATAAGAATTCTTTAGCGAGTATAATCTACAGAGTATTACTACACCTTCTGTTCTAATTTTTGTAATAAAATTTGACTAGACGTAAACTTTATTTAAAAAGTTACCTCAGGTAGAGGTAAGGTCTGCGTACACACTATCCTTTTCAGACTCCTCAGTGTGGGATATTACTGGGTATGTTATTGTTGTTGTTGTTGTTGTACTCTCTCCGTTTCGAATTAGATGAGGTACTTTTCTTTTTAGTCTGTTCCAAAATAAATAACATATATTTAAATTTGGAAATAATTCAACTTTAAATTCTCATTTTACCTTAATGAGATAAAAGCTTGAAAGTTGATATGAAAATCTGTTAATCATTTTTGAAAAACTAATAATAAAATAATATCACGTAAATTTATATCCATATGGGAGTGGGAAGAGGAATGCCAAGGTCGTTCTAGAACTTCACTTCCTTTAATTTGGGTTTGGCCCTGGAGGGGATGTAGTGGGGGGTTGGGGGGGGGGGGTAGAGGAGAGAAGTGGAAATCAAGAAATACGAAGAGAAGATAAAAGAATAATGCATGTGGGATCACTGTTTAAGCCAATTGCCGAAGGGGGTAATGTGGCATGAAATTAGCCAATGGTACATAATTTAATCATTTTGTCCAATACATTAACTATTTATAGACTGGGTGATGACAGAAGGCTAGTTGGTAGGGGAAGGATGGTTGTATTTGGCTTTCCTGATTGGGTAATTAAGAAATAAAATGAGGGTCAATTTTGGTGTGAAGTAAAAAAGTTATAAAAAAAAAAAAAAGAACCAGTCATGTAGAAGAAACAACCAAATAATGAAACGTAAGGTTGTGAGTTTTCGGGGCCTGGGATCGTACCATCTCGAAAACAGCAGAAAATTAGTAGGGGTAGGAAGACTATAGATTATTTGGAGTAATTAAGTCACTGTTGTTATCCAATTAAGTGGTAATTAATCTTTTTTAACTATGGCCAATTACACCAGCCAAGCCACCCCAAAACTGTAACTCACTCACCTTTAAACTTAGCTAATAGGAGTGCTAATTAGGTTAGCTGCTATGGGGGTACATGAGTGGCTCGAGATGAGTAAAATTAAACCAGTGAAAATTCATCAACGTTTTGATTGGGTCGTCCTGTGATAACAGCTCAGGAAACACCCAATATCTTACCTAAGCTATTACGCCATTTCTCTTTCTGTTTGGAAAGAAATCGAGAGCCGAATCAAAACATTAATTTTTATATATTTTCAATTGTGTAAAATAAAAACTAGTATCATGTTTAAAAACTAGTTCTTCCCAAACTAGGATTGCAAAGTTGAGTCCATGTTGTAGCTTCGGACGGAATCCTCTTTTTATATGATCTTGAACAATTCTCATCTTAAGAGCTAACTTTTAGGATTGAGTTAGAACCGCAATATCCATTTATCATGGTATAGTCCTGGCATGTATTGTTGAATCTCACATCCGCCGCTAAGTAAATATCTCTTTATATAATCTTAGGCAATCCTCATATAATGAGCTAGCTATGTTTATTTATCATTAGCTTCCTATGCGCATAATTTGGTCTTTTTATTTTCCTTTTTCAGTTTTTAACTACTCCTTTTTTTCCTAAATTTTTTTAATTGGTTTGATAAAAATAGAATTAGGTATAGTGTTGCTAAAGTATATCTCAAAACAATTTTTCTCAAAGTGAATTGCGCCCATTCAAACCGTGACACACTTTGTATATCTGTCTCTGATAAGAAAATCCAGACATTGAATTATCGACAAGTATGAGTTTATGAGTGACTTACAAAGCACTTCAGTGCTGTGCGTTGATTTTCATAAAACAGGTGGAGGTGTACGTACGTAGGTGCAGACTGGAGTGGATAACACAAATGGGGTCCGGCCACAAACAATATGACTAGGAAAGGTATCTTAGCCTAGTTTGTCTGCTAGTACGTCAATGAACATTTTTTCTAATTTCTATAGCTGTATTTACATGTTTTCAAAGTGTTGCATTTTCTCATTGTTGTCTTTAAAGAGATGGACACAAGTCACTATTCAGATGGCCAAACCTTTTCGGACCCTCTATTTAGTTGTTCTGTTTTTAGATGGCAATAGAAGGAAGAGGATATTATTGCATGTGAAGAGACAGACAACTTGAACAGTAGTTTGCGATAATACGTAGACCAATTGACCACCACCTGAATACCTACTTGTCTGTGTCACAGACTCACAAGTTATATTATGAGCTTCACTGCATCAAATATTTGAGATATAGGGCGGTCCTTCCATAAACCAAGCAAAGCAAATGTTTTAAGTCTCATATTTGTGGGGACTTTATTTTTTGTTACATCTAATAAAAAGGCTCTGTGAAGTGGGAAAAAATTGATTTTTTTCTTTAACAAGAATAGAGAAGAAGGATTTTCAACTGCTATGATTTCTGCCACGAAAATTACACTTGAAATGAGTATCGAACCCGAATTTTGTAAGAAATGTATGATATATAGAAAGTAACAATTTGATGCTAATGTTGACAATAAAATCTCAAAATCTTTCGAAGAGTCCTTTGGAGTTGATTACTTTATACATAGTAGACAGGGTTATTTTTTTTTACTTCAAAATAGATTTGATCAATTCGAAGCATATGAAAATATTTTTGGTTTTCTATTTAGCAGTAAAAACTAAGATCACTAGATGATGGAAATTTGAAAAAATATTGCCTTAATCTTGAATGTTCCTTAAAGCATAATAATAAATTTGATATTGATGATTTGGATTTATTTTAGTAATTAAAAATATTAAGAAAAATAGTACAATTAGAAGATAGTTGTTTAATTGATATACTCGGTGAAATAAAAAGATTTGATTATTTTTCCAATGCCTATATTACTTATGGAATAATGTTAATAACTCTTGTTACCGTCGCTTTAGCGGAAAGAAATTTTCAAAATTAAAATTGATAAAATCTTACCTAAGAAAAACATTGTCTCAAGAAAAGTTAAATGAATTAGTTATATTGTCAATTAAGAAAGACTTATTAAGATTTATTGACTATAAGAAAATTATTAATAACTTTGTATCTAGGAAACGCTAGAAAAATAGACTTCAAAAAAATAAATATATAATTTAAAAAAAAAAAAAGTTAAGGCTCCTCATAAAGTTTGGCTTTAGGCCACAAGACTCATCGGGCCGCCCCCGTTGAGACACAAAATATATAATTATAGATGTAAAAATGTCACTAAAAGCTTCAGAAGTATTTAATTTAGACTTCTTAAGTTATTAAATGCAATATGTCCAGATTAAAAACCTCAAAATTGAACATATTTAAAATAATTTGTGAATGCGTCTCTAATTAATATTATGTGTCTTGCCTTTTTTGTTGTCTTTTCTTTAGCCGACTCAAAAGTTGAAAGGGAGTCTTGCACCAACACTAAAGTTGTACTCCCTCGGTTTCAATTTATGTGAACCTGTTTGATTGGCCACGGAGCTTAAGAAAAAATGAAAACTTTTGGAATTTGTGGTCCTAAACAAGTTAAAAAGGGACCCAGAGTATTTGTGTGATTATAAAAGCTTCTCATTAAGGTAGAATTGCAAGTTTAAGCTAAATTGTTACTAAATTTAGAAAGGGGTCATTCTTTTTTGGAACGGACCAAAAAGGAAATAGGTTCACATAAACTGAAACAGAAAGAGTACTAGGTATGACTTATTGGTCATGAGTTTTAACGAACTAACATTAGTCTGCTTATATCATATCTCTTTGGGTACAATTTTTTTTCGAACTCTGTTTGAATATAGAATATTTTATGCACCGAACTTGCTTTTAAGTCATAGAAAAAGAAAGGGTTGGCTTGAAATGGAAAGAAGATAGGGAGAAGAAGACAGCTCCACAGTGCAAGGAATGGCACATGGGAGCAACCTACGAGCTTTTACACGTGTCTCTTCCGTAATGCTAAATCAGGGGACCACAAAACCTCTTTAATCCATCCACGTGTTGTGTTTCTAGTACATTCAGTCTACCAAACCTGCCATTTACCACCTATCACCACGCACCCCCATACTAATACGTTTTAATTAACTTATCTACAGTTAAATGGGAGTAGATTTTCTCCAGTTCTGGGTCATTTAAAAGTCAAAGTA